GCGATTCCTGTAATGGTCTGCCTCTGTATGCAGCGGGGTGAAGAGTTTCTTTGTGTGAGTTACTGGGGGATTGTTACACCTTTTTCTTTATTATACGTAGACGATAGTGAGACACAGATTTGTTGGTACTGGCTGTGGTGTTTTTAGTGAACCTGTGATGCAATTTTGTTCATTTTTCTTTGTCCTTTTGTGTGTGTGTGTGTGTGTGTGTGTGTGTGTGTGTTACAGCTTTAAACAACAAAGTGGGCAGAATCTCAGTCATGGCGAGGCTTGTCCTTTCCCTCCTGCTCCTGTGTGGATGCCAAAATAGGTAAGAGCTGAGCACATAAGGTAGGTAAGAACACATGTGAAACAGTTGCTGTTTCACATGTGTTTCACACCGTTTTTTGAACACTCAAAGTGTGTCAAGCTTTAAAGCTACCTTTAAGTACATAGCTTTGGTGCTCTTATAACAGGAGGAAAATATCTTAAAGTTGCCATTCGCTGAACGTTATTCATTCATAAGTTGAATATTCTGTTGCATTCAGCAGTGCTGTCACAAATTCTGATCGCTCCATCTGCAGTTTGGTAAATAACAACTCTTGGATATTCAGATATATATTTGCCAAGGATTCCTGCCAGCTCTGCCCTCCTCTCTGTGATTGATCGCATATGCGAGCTGCACTCTGCTACAGCGCCGCTTAAGTGGCTGTCCTGCACTCAAGAAAAGCACAAAAAAAAAAAAGATCTTTGGCGATGCTGTCAGTAAATCACTGGAATAGTCCACTCTCATCTGAGTAGATCAATTGCTTTTAGATCACATGTTCAAACCCGGCTTTGTAACCTTGTCTTCCATGTGCCTCCCTGGTAATTCCAGCACACGAACACAGTGTTCTTTTGTAAAAAAAAAAAAAAGAAAGAAGAAGTGTGGTCATTTTCCTCATTTTCCAGCCAGAGGATGTGCTCATCCTCAAGACATAATGCCGTGCCTCTTGCCATATTTGGAGGGAACTCATTTGTTTATATTTGGATCACATGTCAAAGCCTTAATTGTCTCTACTGGTAGTTGTAAGCAGTACTTGCGTTCAATAATTAATCGCAACAAGCCTGTCCTTAACGCTGTGAGCTAATTAATCACAATAACTGTGTCATGTTTGACGTCCTGCAGTTTTTAGGACGTTGTTTCTCCTCAGAGTCTCTTTACCCCTTGATTCCTTGTTTCCTCTCCTAGTTTCTGCCAGTCCTCAGAGGCTCAGAAGGAGGCGGCCGCCAACGACAACAGCACAGTTTTCACCAGGATCCTGGACGGGCTCCTCGACGGTTACGACAACAGGCTCCGGCCGGGGCTTGGAGGTTTGCTGGGGACACTTTTTTTTTTTTTTTCTTATTTCTCTTCTAAGCATTGAAAATGCGGCAGTCGGAGCTTCCTCATGTAAAAACAAGGCAGTAATCTTGACATTCGAATATCATAATGCCACTTTAGAGCCTCCCAGCATGCTAACCTAACCCGCCAACCTGGTCTCGACTGCCCCCCAGTTTCCAGCCGCGATTGCATGCACCGATCCCTGGTGAAATGCGGGTGGACTGGCAGATACAGGGGTAGAAGCTGTGCGAGCAGATGTTAATTTTGCTCCCGTGTCAGCTAAGGTGAACACATGTTGTCAGATGCCACGTTTTACCTTCTGAACTGGGGACGAGGATCGTGGACACATTGGGTATTTTCTTTCTTGTACGCCAACATAGGGAGAGTAAACCGATCAAGCCATCTTCAGCACGGCCTGGAATCAGTGTGCTGTGGTGTTTTATTCACACTCTTCACCCTGGCAACAGGAGATAACCTTGAGAGCTGACAAATTGCCATTCAAAGATGGATATTTTCTTTTTCTAAGGGACTGTTGAAGTGAAAGCTTTTCATTTTCGCCATCCCCGACTCCTTCCACACCTCTTTCGCTAATGGCATGCCACTTAGTGCATTTATTCCACTGATTTCCAACCAGCCCTTTATTTTGTCCTCATGACATTGGTCCTCATTTCACTTTGTTTCCAACGTATGTGCACTACTTCCTACCCACGGTAGGAAGAAACAAGGCTTTTTTTTGTGCCGAATGGCTGATGTGTCATGGCAAAAGCCTGCTCTCACATCCTGGTAACGGTTGCTACCCTTGACAAGAGGGCCTATAAATACATACCAGAAAAACATTCAGGCCTTCATTCAGCATTCAACAAGCTGCTCTCCACAGCACGACCAATCCCAGCTCGCCAGCACCAAATTTATATGCATAGAGGAGATTTTGTTGGCTTTGCTGGTACAAATGACAGAAATAATGTTCTACCCTTTTCCACATCATCTTCAGAAGAAATGCACTGTGAGAGAAATTGTGGAAATATGTGGATTTTCTGTCAGTTCTGCCATTTAACTAACCAAAAAAGATACTGAACATTGATTTTATTGCAGTCTCTTAGGACAGAAAATGAACTATGTTGATAATCGAGTTGTCTTTTTTACATCATTATAAATGAAATATCTTCGGGTCGTTGTGTCGGACTCTAGGAAATAGTTGGATTCATCAATAATGAAAATAATCTGTAGTTGCAGCCCTAGAAAAACACCACTGAGCAGTTCAAGTACAATATATGTACAGAAAATGTATTTTATTTTCTGTGTGGCTGTGGTCAGTGAAGAACATGGACTTGAAGATGAATAATATTAAATAAACACCCCCCCCCCATATCAGCCTTTTATGGGTTCAATTACAATGCAGTTCATTTATTACGCCTTTCATTGCCTACTTATCACCTCTCCTCACCCTCAAACATTCTCAACTGTTCTCTCTCCACAGAGAACGTCACAGAGATCAAGACAAATATTTTTGTCACCAGCTTTGGCCCGGTGTCCGACACGGAGATGGTGAGTTCATCTGCAGCAAACACTATAGATACACAGAGCACATCTCCGAAGCCCATCCAGACGACTGTAGGTATTTTTAGATCCAAACATATATTTACATTTCATGAGACTGGCACCGCTGCTCCTGCCGTTCCATTACACTCATGTCCTAGTTGTGTCTTTGAAGACTGGCCCTTTTTTTCCTTGTGAATGAGACAAAATGAATGTGGACGACTTAAACTTTTAAGATTTAATGCGATGTGGCTGGCCCATTCCAACTTGTTCCAAATGATTCATCCCTTTTATTAATCCCTTCCCTTATGAACTATAAGGTTCCACCTGGATGGCAAAAAGGCATTAAATCTTCTCTTTCATTAAATCTTCTGTTACACCCTGCCACATCCCTGGCACACTTTGACACAGTAGTGATCAAACTTGCCACTTTCCTATAACTGACTTGAAAAAGGTATTGACAGGGCCGCGGGATTGATTAATGAAATGTGGCAAGAGACTTGAATGGTTTTGCGGTCCATAAAAGCTTATATGTCACCGTGCTAACAGCGTCATTATTCTGTGGGATGGAGTATTGTATTTGCTTCTCGTTCATTAGTTTTTTTTGCACTCGAAGCGCGTCGATATTTCACACACGAGCAAATTTATGATGGATTTCTACACTGCGATGTTTGATCAGTGAAAGCTTAGTGGATATATGAAGGCGTAAAGGAAGAGCTACTGTTGGAGTAAGAGCAATGTTTGACCATTTTGTGCTGATGAGAACTGACTGCAAAGAAGCAAGTTAAATTAGCTTTCCTGTCTCAATTTGTTCATTTTCTGTGTAACGTGACAAGAAAATGCCAAAAACAACATTTAAATCTCCATTAGGGAAGAATAATGCTTAAAAGTACCCTAAACTTATCAGTCTAAACAAGAAAATGACTCCAGAAACAGAGACCTTATCTAACTTTAAATTCTTGTTTTGGGTAAAGACACGCTACACAAAATGATGTTTTGAAGCTTAAGAGTGAAACAGACAACCATCTCTTAAAAAGCGCAGCGAACACTCCGTCCAGAGGGAGATCTTTCGCCTTTGGCATCCCTTCAGCATCTTGTGGGATAAAATGATCACAGAGCAGACAGATCAGTAAACATGCGAGCAGAGTGCAGTTTACTGACACCAACATTACATGGCTTCTAGGTCCAAACGGTTACCTCTCACTACTAGTTTGTGCTAAATGCTCAAAAATGGTGTCTTGCCTTTTTCCAGCAGGGCTCTCTGAAAGCCCTCCTCTGCTTTTTGTCTCAGGAGTACACCATAGACGTGTTCTTCCGTCAGAGCTGGAAGGACGAGCGTCTGTGCTTCAAAGGGCCCATGGAGATGCTGCCGCTAAACAACCTCCTGGCCAGCAACATCTGGACCCCCGATACCTTCTTCCTGAACGGCAAGAAGTCTATCGCTCACAACATGACGACGCCCAACAAGCTGCTGAGGCTGAAGGACGACGGCACTTTGCTTTACACCATGAGGTGGGTCATAACGCAGATGCTGTCCTCTGTGATTTACTCGCACAAACAGGTGTTTTATTTTGCTTTCTCCAGTTTAAAGACACTGAATAATAAACTGCGGTTGAGTGCTTTGCTTCATAACAACCCTAATTATAAAGCCCTCTGGTGACCAAGGCTGGTGGCACTTGTCGCATTTAGAAATGTCATTACTTTAAAATGTGCTGCTAGTCATAGAGAGGTACAATGTTCAAGGCGCAGTGTTTCTATGACAGTACTGAGTTTGAGGTAGTGCATGAAGATAAAGGAAACCACTTGAAAGGCCAGCATTATACACAATACTGCTTTGCACTGAAAATACAGTGATAGAAACCCCCAGCATGTGATTCAGACTGTACTGCAGGAGAATAGTGTCACCCAGTGGCCAATCAGAGGCATTCATTTTGTCCTGGACAAGCCCATATTACTGTGAGTTTACAAAGTAAACAGCAAATACTGCAAGTATTTCTTCAAATGCTCGTATTTCGTCAAGTTCTATTAGTTAGTTTTGTTTTTAACTCGTGTTGAGACGCAATGAAATATAAAAAACAGCGTCAAGTGTCTCTTTAAATTTAGGGTTTTGAGAAGAAAAAAAAAAACTGCAGACGGAGATCATCCATTATGAAAAGCAGCCTCATTGTGAACTATAGTTTTTGGCAGTAATGTGGTGGCAAATTAGAAACAGGCCAACAACCAGATGGTGATTACTATAAACAGAACCACCAGTATTTACACAGAAAAACAGAAATATATCAAATTCTCAGCTCAAAAGTTGAGGAAAGAAAAGCACAAAATTGAGAAATGAGTCCTCTGACGGACAAATAGTTGTTGTTTTTTTTTGTTTAGTGGAACGGCAGCGTAACCAGCAGGCCTCACTGTGACCTTTGCACCAGAGAATTAGAATAATGCTGTGCTTATCCTTCAGGAGTTACTGTAGCCGCAGGACTTAAAGAGTGACTGTATCACGGATGAGAGCACTCTATCTGGTACCAGTGCCACCCACAGGAAGAATAATGCTGGATGGAGGACAGATTATCCATATGCAACCACCCTGACATATATACATATCCAAAGAAGTGCTTATTTATAGTCACGTCTTTGTCACATAAACCACACACACACACACACACACACACACAAGCACAAACTGCCAGTTTTCTGCACTAATCAGTTGTAGTGACACTCAACTCTGACCTCTGGGCTTAACATGTAACAGATTGCGTAAAAAGTGTGTGTGTTCATTTCCATATGTGTGATATTATGGAAATCTATGCATACATGTATTTATATCTGAATGCAAAAATGTACACGTGTGTGTGTGAGAGAGAGAGAGAGAGAGAGAGAGAGAGAGAGAGAGAGAGAGAGAGAGAGAGAGAGAGACTGTGCTCCCATACTTTGCCACAGTTGTAGCAGTAGGTTGCTTTTAATCGTCTAATTGTTACAGTACTGTGCTTGTCATTACCAGCGGAGCTTAACCACAGGCAGCACTGATTCTGTTCGCTGCATAAACACACACTCGCACACACACACATACTGTACACACACACACAGGCCATCTGGGTACTTGCAGGTTACAGCTAACTCCAAAGCAGCATTCGCACTATATATTATTCAGTATGTTATATACCTGTAATGTGGGAATGTGTAGAACAGTACTGGAATGGTAAGTCTTCCCTTTACCACAAACACATTAGATAACCGTGACACAATAATGACCATAAAAGACTGTCAGCGTCAACAAATGTATCACTTTTGTTTCCCCAAACCTCATTCACAGACATAGAAATGTACAGTATGTTTTCCCACATGGTGACAGTACTATTGTTGCGGTCAATTTCTCCCCAGAGATTGTTAGATCTTTATTAGACTGACTCCGATTAACATAAATCTAAACAGACTTATTTGTCAACAGCAATCATAATCCGAGCACAGAGCACAGACGGAGCGTATTAATTTCCATTGTATTTAACCACAGTTTGCAGGCTTTAAGGCTCCAAACAGAACTGAACTCAGAAGAAAGTGTCATTTTCTGTAGCGGACACCTGAAACATGTCATCTGCTCAAAATGATGTTCATATTCGTAAAATTAAGACGTGTCAGGGTGATAAAAAAAAGTGTTACGTACTGTATGTGTTTTTTAAGCTGTTAAAGATGGCTCTACCAGAACATTATGTCTATATAACAAGATAGCTAAACTACTATCCTCCAATCAATGATCCTCTACAATGTGATCAGAAAATTCCTAATAGAACTGTAGTTTACATTATTTATATGACAAACACTGTACTGTGAGCACATGTGTTTTCATAGCATCCTGTATATCCCTGTGGGATTCACCCAGACAATGTTACACAGATACTACTCTGAAAACACATACTGTAGTGAGCACAGACACACTGTCATGCAAGTGCATATTCCAAACATTACATCCTCTCCCCCACACATTCATCATGTATGGGTGTCGCTGAAAGCTCCGCTCTCTCCTCTCCTCTAACTAAATGGGATTGTGGCGTGGCATCATTTGGAAACGGTCACTCTGAGGAGGAGCGCTTGGTTTCATAAAGCAAATTTCTATGCATTTGTCTCCATGGATAATTCATAAAATGCCCCTTTTCACAACCCTCCGCAGGCTTAATGCACGCGGGCCTGCTTGCAGCCCATTATAGCCGGATACCAGATAGGTTGCAACATATACGGCTTCATCAGCTGGCTGAAACCTCTGTATTACAACAGAGGGAGTGCATTACACGCCATTATCATTAGGAACAGTTGAGCTGCAGCATCGCCGTTAGTCTCCCATGTAATCATTTGAACATGCTCCCATACTGACAATCTGTAAGTGTAATGGCACGTCCTTATTTAACCTTACTTTCTTGTGCTCTTCTAACAGTTTATCTAACATTTATTTAGATTTATATATAATCCTGGCTCCCATACGACTAACTGTATGTGATACAGCGGGTGGGGGGGGGGGGATTGTTAAAAATGTGCTTGTTAGTGTGAAAAAGACAGATGGTGCAGCATGGTGGCTCAGTGGTTAATGCAGCATAAAGCTCCCGGACTCAAAACTCAGCCCTCTCTGTTTTGTCCTGTTGTCCAAGTTCTCTCTCAACTTTTCTGCAAGGTCAGGCATTTTTTTTTTTTTTTGGGGGGGCAGCGGCTTTAGATTTCCCACAGGTGTGACGGTCAATACACTGGTCTGTTTCTGGGGTTTCACACCCCAATATGTACTGCCTTCCACTCAGTCCACACTGGCTGCTAACTATATATCCCATATTTGAATTATAACTGCAGTGGTATACATATATTATATACACACTTTAAAGGGAGGGACAAAGCACCCCCAAATTAAAAGCAACTATCTTTAACAGGCATCTCTGCTAATGGGACAAGGCCACATGAATAATTAGAACGTGGTATAATAGCCAACAGCCATGTTCTCATTTATTTATCCCAAAGACACTCTTTCCTCTCCTCCGTACACAATCCTTCAGCTGTTTTAGACCCAATAATGCAATTGGATAATCCTGCACTGATGTGGAAAGCAAGCTGAGCCCCAAAACAGTCAACTCTGTAGGGACCAGAGCTGGCCCCTTATCCCACTTTGTTATGCTTCGTTTGCTTTAATGATATAATTTGGAAACCTCCCGGAGTAGATACATACATACATACATGCAGGAGGTTCTGAAGCATAATAAAACATGACCCAAGAGGATTTTTCCACCACATCTTGGTGACACAATCGTTATTAAGATTATAATATAGTTCCGTGAAGGAAAAAGAAAATAAATCACCTTATTCTGTTGCTCATATGCCTGAAAGGTTAAAGCAAAAAAAAAACAAAGCCAGTGCCAGAGAAACCTAAATAAATGTTAAGTTTTTGTTCACTGGCTTCCACACAGCTTAATTCTCCTTCATCCAGCCCATTAAGTTCAGTGAATCCGCATCATCATATCACTGTTTTACTGTTTATCATCATGCTATGAGCAAGAATGCCCAAAGGGACTTGATTCAATCTAGGGCAGATAGCTAAAAAAAAGAAAAAAGAAAAGAAAAAGAATAATTATGATGTGTGTATGCTTGATTTGTATGCTTGATTTACTTAATCCTGCGGTTCTTTCAGGACACTGGGAGCTACAATCACGGCAGCTAAAAATGATAACACCATGTCTTGAATGATTGTTAATGAAAATAAGATTTGAAAAGCTCTTTGTGTGTGTGTGTGTGTGTGTGTGTGTGTGTGTGTGGATGATTTAAATAGACTGACTGAATGAATCTAAATCAAGCAAGGCGATAGACTTCAAGTCCACAGCGATTTAAGCAACCTTCATTAGCAGACAAAGCTAAGATTATATGTAATATAATTATATTTGAATAATCTGGATCAGGTGATTGGCTGTTGGCAGAACACAATGAAAAATGATTTGTATGAGAGTTTGTTCTATTTTGAGGAGTCCCTATCTTATCATGGGAAGACAAATGAAACAGAAACTCTGTGGCCACTAGGGGGAAGCATTGCCACTGTAATACCAGTGTGGCTGAGGCAGGGAAATACTGCACTTACATGAAACTGTACTCACATACTGGTAATTTTGCTTACTGATGCTGACAAAAAGCAATTATCTGGACTCTAAATTACCCCCCCCTTCTTATTTTATATCCTTTTTCAGAGGATTGTTGAATGGTTGCAAAGATTGAAGGAAGGTTGCATGATGAATGATGCTGTTCCTGTAATTGTACGGTGCTCTGTATGAGAGAGAGAGAGAGAGAGAGAGAAATCTTTAAAGGTTAAATAATGAGTGTAAAAGAAAATAAGATGCTATACTGAATACTAAAGTAACACTATGTTACGGGGGTTAATTGACGAATTGTATGTGTTTTGCCTTAGACTGACCATCTCAGCAGAATGTCCCATGCAGCTGGAGGATTTCCCCATGGACGCACACGCCTGCCCTCTCAAGTTTGGCAGCTGTGAGTAAAATCGACTTTTACATTCGTCTTGTTCTTCACTTGTGTCCTAATCCCAGCTATTACGGTGCACAATGCTGTCATTCGGTCCAGTGCAATAAGTTACGCAAACATTTAAAGTAGATTTAGAGAACAATAAGGAATCATTTTTGACAACGCAGAGTCAGTTGAAAAGTCATTATCTACTGGAGGTTGCTGAGTTTGCTCTCCTTACATTAAATTCACGATTGTCAACTTTTAAGGCGAGAATATGTGACCTTTACTGAGCAGCAGCCGCTCCGGTCAGAAGCGACGATTACGGCGTAATGCTAAGCTATTGTAACAGTCAGTATATACATGTACACTGACTGAGATCAACACACAGCAGTAAAGCAAAGCAGTGAGCTACAGGAGCGTTCTCAGGGGAGGACCTACATGAGAGGATTATGAGCCGGCTTGGGTCAGATCACTGGTTGTTTTACAGTATCAGCCGCGGTCAGTTTAAGTCAATCAAAATGTATGGCAAAGGGATTTTATCCAAATGGTATGTTCCTGGGTAGCAGTGAAGCGTGGTTCTACAGTTGGACCTCTGATCAGACGGATTCTTTATGGTCCTCCCTTGCAGCTATACTATTACAAAACTGTGGCGATCACTGAGAGAAGAGAATAGAAGAGAAAAGAACAGAAGATTACTGCATGTTCTCCAACACTTAATTAGGCCAGTGATCAGAAGGGTTCTCCCCAATGCCTTCTTAACAGGACGGCTTGTCTGTCTGTCCTACCGGGGAGGACACGTATAGAAACCTTAGTTGCTCCCCGGTGGTATTTAAAGATCTGTCCAAGTGCCAAACCTTCGGAGCCTCGTGGGCTAAAAGGATGAGGCTCTTATCCCCAGATTTCTTTGAGACGCAGTCCACCCACACTCACTATGTAAGAGAAGCCCTTTTGACCGCAATCCAATTATAGTGCAAGGAGCTGACCGGCCTTCCCGTGGCAAACACTGCAAACACTAACCTAATCGCCCCAGTGCACTGCCCTGCAGGTGAGAGGTGTGAGTGTATAATAGGAATAATGTGTTGATAGCCACACTGCACACTTTTTACATGGCGAGGTGTCCTAGTGAGGATATCTTTCCTTTCATTGTTCCTGTTAGAGACTAATGTGACCTCTCTGTCTGGCCTCATCACCTCCTCACTTAGCCTTTGGCCTCATGTGGCATAAGGCCGTACCTACTAAACCTCCACATTACACTGCAGCTAATGTGCTTCTCTAGCATTATGTGATAATATAGTTAAATCTGCACAGCATACAAAAGCGAAAAGTATAGAGTCCCTCCTCTTAAAATAAACAAAATGGCCGAAGTGCCTGACACAAACATTGCTTTAGTCCAGTAATCTGTGACAACACTAAACAGTATTTTGACTGTATCCACTGTTTACTATTGTCATCAGTGGGGGATGAAAGGAGACAACATCCGGTGTAATGAAAAATGGGCAAAATTAATCCGCTGTGTTAAAAAAAAAAATCTCTCCATCCCCTCCTCCTTTTTTCAGAATGTCATGATTGGATATTTCAGTACTGCGACAGGCAGAGAGCAGTGACTGCAGAAGCACTGATGTTTAGGGGGGGAAAGGGTTTAAAGAGTCCAAGGCTACAGTTATAATGCCTTTATTTTATGCACTGTTTTACCCAGAAATCCTTGCCATAGAGCCAATACCTGAAGTGCAATCTCTATACTTTATTTTACAGTCCATAGCTTATAATTCAATTAAATAAATGTATATAAATACATGTATGTATATTGAAATTAATACAATACATTAATTTACAATTTTGTAGATTTCAACAAACAAGGTAGCTTAATCACATGAATATTGATACTCAGCTAAGCTAATGTTTGTTACCTCGCAGGCCTATTTATCCCTCTGTCCTGATTCGTATTACTACCATATTTAGTCTTGTGCAATAACAAATCGAAAGACTTGCCAAGATGTCAGTTTACCAAAATAGATATTTTTCAGCTACATGCAGTATAACAGCTATGGGAAAATATCAATAGCTTTAGCTGAGGTTAACTGTGGCTATCTCAGCAGCTTGATAGCTCTCTAGCTTTAGCTGTTTGTAGTTATTGCATTTTGGCTTTGTCGGTCAGAGTTACAAGCCAAGTCCTGGGTCATATGTATATGAAGGAGGTATGTCTGTTGTCAGGAACAAGGTACTGGAGAACCTGCTTAAAGGTTTGGTCAACAAAACTACTTTATTAGTTTTAGGAAAAGATCATGGTTTTGGTCCGCTCAGAGAGATGGGCAGGGTAGCTTAGTGGGTCAAACACAGGTCAACATTGATTGATTTTAACACAGAATATCTTTCTTCTTCACCATTTTGAACTATCCCAAATGAACGGAAATATGCGTACAACCAAATCTCACTGCATCACATCCACCAATGTGTTCTCGTTGAACGCGGCCACAACCTTAGCTCGTATGAAGGTCACGATAGACAGTAAAGTCACTCCAGGTAAAGGCCAACTAATCCCTTATTCTGGCCTACACTGCCTGTGTCCTAATTTGGGGAGCCCAGTTATATGTGGCATTTAATTCAAGATGTAATTCTTTTTCTTAAAACAAACCAAATGGCAGCTAGAAGTGCTGCACTTTCTTATTCTACCATGCTATCCTGGGAGTTGGAAACATTAGTAGTTGAGTTGAGCTGAACCAGCACGTGCAGTGAATAAGAAATTTGCAGAGGCTCAGTAGCCAGTGTTGGAACTGTTGGTGCATCAGACACAGAAGCTGTAAAACTTTGTGATAAACAGTCTGGAAAACCATGACAACTATGACAATCACACAAAATCTGCACCAGTAAAAGGTTGCAAGGTTGAAGCCAGCTCATACAGACAAGAGAACAAATGCTAAAGAAAAGTACTTTCTCAGAAATTACAACATGATTACCATAATCGCCAGCTCTGTGACCGAAAAAAAGACGAGTCATTTGGAACTTTGCAAAGCTGGTGTTTACAGCGAGGCGGGTGTTTTTAGAAACTGCTTGTTCCCTGAATCAGTGCATAAAGATGCAGATGACGGTGTGAGGTTCACAAAACCTGGCCACCTGAGCTGTTGGAAAACAGTAAAACGTGGTCTAATGAATCATCTCTCAGCCCGCCTTGCCTTCAACCCACAATGATCCGCTGAACATATGTACCAGTGAATCATTTTATGATTGCTCTCCTTCTTGGAGCCTTTCATATTGTGAGATACGAATGTCTAAATTGCTCTTATAAATAAACCTGAGAGTTCATGAACAGCAGAAAGAAGTCTGACTCCTCTGATCCCCGTCACAGGAACATCAATGAATCTGCAGGATAAGGATTTCCACTTTAACGACAGTCTAACATCAGTTCAGGACTCAGAATCAAAGTGAGGGTTGAAGCTATTCTAAAGCCAAAAGAAGGCCCGACTTCTTGTTATATACTTTCTGCACACAAACTCGGAATCTGTCTCCCACCTGCGGATAAAGTTGGCTTTTTCAAATCTGTGCTTTGAGACAACAGCATTGGTTCAACAACCTGTGTTTATGCCTTCCTGTTAACTGACCTTTTGCAGTTGTGAGTGTAATTGACTGTTTTCTAAACCTCACCCCATTATTTGCTGTTTTCCTTTCTTACAATGCACATATGCAGTTTGTAATAATAACAGTGACAGATTTACTACTGCGAATTCTTAGTATTTTTGAAATAATGGTTGGAGGTAGACAAAAATAAGTTTCTATTTCCATAAAGAGCAGGACAGAGCTGCTAACGTTAGCCTAAACTCTGATAAAGTGGCATTCAAGGCCAGTTTTCACACAGTGGATGTACAAGTTGGGTACTGGGATTTGGTATTCCCACAAACTGTAACTTTAGTTAATAATGTGCTAGTTAGCTGGACATGCTAATGCTTGCAGCTTCTGGTTCACATTGGTTTCTAACTATATTTAACTATTCATTTAACTTTTCTAGCTGTGACAAAGTATTTTGGTTTGGTTTTAGTTGCCTCTTTCACCTCATCAGTATTCAGTGTTTTGGTTGATTTTGAATGATATCCTTCACATTTGATATCCCAGCTCTCATTACTCATGTATGACACAGTAATCTAGATGTAATCCTTGTGTTGCAGGAAAACACATTTCGGTCCTCTGCATTCATTTCCTTTTATTATTTCAGACAGCTTTCACTCCGAGTGCGTAGAGCTACAGTATAGTAAGTGATGAGTTGGGCCGAGTTGTGGCTCCCCTCTTCCCTCGCACATAAGACGGGAGCACCAAAGCATTAAGCGTGAACTGTTCAGAAGTTGGCACAGGTGCACCGCCTCGCCTGCCAAAGTCTTTAGCTCTTCGTCTTCGTAATGAAATTCACCAATAATCCCGTATTCCAATCTAACTACCCCACAATTAGGGTCCTGGCCTTGAGCCTGCCGGTGGCCAAATTTAAACACTACGTACCTTGTACACTGCCAAGTGAGCACCCAGAATGGAAATGCTCAAGTTAAGATATTATCTGCTGGACAGAAATAAACAATGGCAACCCTGTTACGCAAAGCCCAAGGTTGTAGTTAGTGTTTGTGAGAATCAGCAAAATGAGCTGTAAACATTTGAATGTTTGAATGCAGTTTTTGCTCGCGCTGTGTTGTATTCATAGATATTTAAGATACATAACTGTCTACTTTGCACCTCCAGAAATGTATGAAAGTGCATTTGGCTGCACAGAATCTCCTGTGCACATATACTTTCAACAGTTTTTCTTCTTCTTTTTAAAATTAGTGCTTGTCATGGCAGAGAAATATGATCTACTTTTTATCCCTAGTGTTAAATTGTAGCCTTTAGAGAACGCCATACAAAAATAAAAAAGAAATTGAGCATCTACTGTAAGTGGGCAGACGCAGCCCTCCTCTCTCATTATTTTCCCTCTCAGCAGATAATTTCTTTTCCCAATTTCCCCTTCATCCAGTCTGTTTTTCATCAATATCTTCCCAAATCTTCTGTCACTAGACATGATCACAAATAGCTTTTTAGTGCCTGCTGCCTTGGAGGTTTTTTTTCTTCTTTCTCTGTGTGTGCCAATACTTTTCGAAAATACGTCAAAACAGGTGACAATCAATCACAATCAACAGCGAATACATTTCATAGATTCTCTAATAGGTAGAGCACTTTGGATTGAATCTCAAACTGCGATAGTAAACATGCCAATCCAAATGCGGAAAAAAATAAAGATTCCAAGATGAATAAGATGCTATTTTCAATATCTTTGCAGATTTCAGCCCTTACTGGGGGCCAGATGAGGGATCGATGTCCAGTGTTTGTTCAGGGTCGAGCGTGATTGCGTGAAGTAGCAGGAGAGGCTTCACAGTTTGTGCCCCTGTTTTTCATCACAAGAGTGATGCAACACATTATGGTTAATCTGACTCGGTCTGGTTCCTGCTGACAGGGGAGCTCACCTCTGACCCAGAAGTGTGGTTTAAACAAAAATACACTCAAATATCCACCCACACACACACACACACACACACACACACATATACAGGCATGCAAGCAAAATTCTGGTTTTGGCTTTAAGCCTGCAGTCTAATCAAAAAGTGCTAGACAGACTCTGCACCAGCACTCACTCAAATAAACACACAAACACATGGGCAGCTACGCATGAGCGCTGACAGGGTTGAAACTAACTGTAATTTGTTACAAATCTACAGTGTTGAAGGAAATAAATATTGTTTTTGAAACCGTTAACTTACATTCTGCATGTGCATACATTAAAAAGAATAAATCCCCAAGCTCATTTCAAGTCCTGTTTCCTCTTCCTCTCTCCCAGATGCCTATCCGGTGTCAGAGGTGGTCTACACTTGGACTCAGGGAGCTGCCAAGTCTGTGGTGGTGGCAGAGGACGGCTCCAGACTCAACCAGTACCATCTTATTGGGCAAACCGCAGGCACAGAGGACATTCACACAAGCAGAGGTGTGTGTGTGTGTGTCTGTGTGTTTGCGAGTGCATGCCTTTAGACGAAGAACATACTTTGAATGTACAAAAAAGAAAACAAGAAATGCACATAGATAGCTAATACGAGCAAAGAAAGGGAACAAGAAGGTTCACTGTGTTAACGGTAGTAGCAAATACTAAATCCCAAAGGATGGAAATCTTTTGATGAATGCCAAAGCCCAAGTGATGCAAAAAAATTAAAGAATAGGTAGCATGTCTGTGAAAGATTTTGATCCCCTACAGACAGACTAAAGGATAAAACACACTTTGAAGGCAAGTATAGGGGAGTGCAGTATGGATTCATCTGAATGTAATAACATGCAGTCGATTTTATTTGATGGAGGAAGCAGGCTGTCAGATAGCTAATAGTGTGATGGTAGGCAGAATACACAGCAACAACCACTATTATTATAAGTCATTTTGAAATCTTTAAAAACATGTAGAATATGTGTCTTTGCAGTTTGTAAATCCATCTCTAAGTTTGTGTGTGAAAGTACTCACTAAGGTACGACTAGCTGTTTTCAAAGTAGTTATTAGTTATTACTCATTGTTGCTCCATTTTAAAAACTCCAGTAGTGTGTAAATCAGTCACATCCGTACAGAAACATCCGTAGTCCCGTCCATTCAAAAGCAATCTACTATTCAAGCAGGAAATCAATGTGGCATTACAAGCTGCAACATAAAACAAGTTCACAGTTAGTGGAATTCATGCATTTTAGTGATGACTATCTGATTATGCTAACCTCTTCAACACTTACCTAGGCACTGAATTTTCATCTAGTGTCAGGTCAGTTGTGTCGTCCACAAAACAAGTCATATATAAGCAAGCTACTGTAGCTAGTTCAGTCGACTACACAACAGTTACTGGGTGTAAATATTTAGTAACAACTTCATTTAATGGATATATATAGAATGATAAATGTACTTTATTTTCCACCTCAGTGGACAAAAGCACATACACTACACATAGCATACCATTACAAACTGGCAGCTAATAGGTTGTATGAATAGCTGTGTTCAAAGCCTGTATGGCATGGGGAAAGTATAGTATATGTTCCAGTTGGTCCTTGATAGGAAAGTAGTGAGAGTACATATAATATCTTACCCTTTAAACCTTTTTAAAAGAAACTAATTTAAAATGGGTAAACTGATGTTCCTCAGTGATTCACTCGTCAGATCACTTTCAGTGTACCATCTTACTAACAGCATTTCCAAATAGGTTCCTCCCAGCAAGTAATGGCTTTACAAGGCAAAGATGGAGTCACAACAGATCCTTGTTAATTTAAAAAAGGCTGACTCAGCTGCTGCACACCAGGGCCCTGTTTATTGTTCAAAAAACTTTTTACAACCTATCATTTTTTTGTTAAATGAGGAAACCTCAAGCAGAAAAACCCAGATGCTGCCAAAAGCATCATCAACCACCTCCAGCGCAGCAACTCCTGTCCTCACTTTACTTATCCGCTCCATCGCCCTTATTCTTCACCTTTCTTGTGCATCTTTTCCCTGGATAAATTCATACTGTAAGTGATGCATGATAAGTGTAATTCCAAATAACGTGATGTAACTAATTCTAGATTAGAAAAGATAAACGCTGCGAGGAGAGATGGACGTGCGAGGCAGAGAGTAAATGTGGGAAACATTATCAGGAGATCAGAGTCAATGAGTGGAGGCTAGTGGAGGAGAGTAGCCTATCCCTCACACAACCAGCTGTCTACAGGCCTGGACAGCCCTGTCAAACAACACTTATCCCCACATGAGCCCATGCGCACGCACACACACACACACATACACACACACACACACACAGAGCTAGAGAGAGACCTGAGACCTAGGGTTAATCCCCCCCATCCAACCACCCATCAGCTTTTGCATAAGAAGATGACATCACAGATCAGTGAGGGATTGGTTGGTTGGCTGTCCCTGAGTGTATCTGTGTGTTTGTGGGTATGTGCTCTTGTACATATATCTTCCTGAGGACCGAATGTCCTCACAGTAATGGTTAAAAACCAACAAAGTGAGAACATTTTAAATGGTACGCACTATGACCTGAGCTGTGGGTTAAGGGTAGGGCTTGTGTTAAGGTGAAACATTAAATAAGGTTGGTTTTTTTTTTTGTGTGTGTGTGTGCGTGTGCGTGTGTGGTGTGTGTGTGTGTGTGTGTGTGTGTGTTTGCAGGCGTTTAAATGTGAAGTTTAGCATAATGAAAATAGTTTGACTTCAAATTTAAGAAAAGTCCTCACAAAGATAGAAAAGTAAATCTGTGTGTGTCTGTTTATACGTTGGGATTGGACAGCCTCGCTCTGACACGTGGGGATTGGGTGGGGTGGGGGCGGGGGCGTTGAAAGGCATCTGCTTAATACTCTTATGTAAAACGAAACTGTAATACACTTCCCTCCAGTTTCTAGTAGAATCATTATTAAAAGTGTGGATTTCCCCCGTTTTTTTATTTATTTCCGAGCCACAACTGAAACCTCGCTTTTGCCGGCTGACTCAGTGGTTTGAGGGAAGGGTTAAAGGGTTCGTCGGTGGAGAGAGTGCATTGCTGCCTGGCTGGAGGGCCAAATTGCTGGTTCGCTGGCTGGATGGTTGATCGGTTGGCACGTTGACCAGTTTGCGAGTTAGTTGACCAGTTGATAAAAGGTTGGACGAAAGGCTGAATGTCTGGCTGGCAAACGTCTTTTTCAATGCTGACATACTCTATTTAACTATTGGTAACGATGAATATAATGATTAATACTTGGGAATATAGTGTTGACTGGAAACCATTTTATGAGCATTTAATGTTAATTATCTGTGTGACCCTATAAGACTGACTGAAAGATGAAAAACACTGAGACAATGAAAAAGGTCAACATTTTTAAACAGTTTGCAGCTTTCTTTAGAGTATAAAACTTCCAAATTAAATTGTTTTATCAAGTAGTTTTTTGGGAAATCCATCTAAAATATAATTTAAATTAAAGCTGCCCTGTGGTTCATTTTTTTGTAAACAAACATTGTTATCTTAGTTATCTTAAAAGGCATTGTGTGCATCTTTAAGACCTTACACACCTCTTCCTCATAAACCACTTGCAAACACTATCTTTTATATAGTTTAAATCCTGTGTGCTAGCTTGTAGGGGTCAAAGATTCCACAGAGTATCTTGAAATGAGTATTTCCGTTAGCCTTCTTTGTCATTAGTATCTTTTCTTGTCCAGTACCATTGAAAATATAATTTCTCCAAATGCCCAAAGACTACAAGAAAACAAACCAGTCAACTGATTGGTGTCAGGTGATATTGATAGTGTTCAATGACAATAACAACAGGCCAAACACAAAATACGATTCAATGTGAGAAGCATCATTCGACCATTTCTGGCCTCCTGTGACATTGTTTAACATTTTCTCCCCTTTGAAATCCCATTTAATATTTCTGTATCGAAATCCATCATTGATTAGTTTTATCATTAAAATACCAGTTTGTGGGATTTAGACTCAACCACCTGCAAAGAAGAAACTACAGTGGGCGCGAAACTCGCAAAGAAGGCAAATGGACCTATTTAGGGCAGTGTTTGGTTTGTCCGTGCTGGGCTACTGTAGAAACATGGCGGTTCAACATGGCGGACTCAGTAGAAGAGGACCCGCTCTCTCTGTAGATAAAACGGCTCATTCTAAGGCAACAAAAACACAAATATATTGATTGTACACTAATAAAAACATACTTATGAATATTATATTCAATTTCTCCTAAATGGACCTTTGAATCAATAGTCAAGGTCATTTTATATGTATTCATATGTCTGACAGTGTACCTGACATTACCTTGTTCGCTCTAAATCAGCAAATCACCATCTGGTGCTCAGACTATTACAAGAAAATGCTAAACATTATCTGTGAATTCTATTTAGCCGAAGGACTAAAGGCAGGGGAATCATCATTCATGCAGCTCAAAGCTTCTGTCTGGAAAGCGTCCAAATCAGTGGTGGAGATTGCTGATGAGTTTGAGCTCAGGGGTCACATCCAGTCCAGTAGGTTAATTTACTTTCTGTGTGTGTTTGACTCTCTTGTTAATAACTTTCACAGACCAAATATGACACTTTTAGATATACATCTTAAATAGTAACATGCTTTAAATGGACTATTACCACCTTGGATGCAGTTGACAGCTGTTGCTAGAGGTGTAAATCACAGATGTGGACACAACATTTTTGTACAACTTCAGCAACAACTTCCCACAGTTCTTTGTGTTGCATCATCCTGCAACATAACTTTATTGGATATTTTATTATGTACAAGTCTGAAGAGCCTGTAGAGAGCTCTGTCGTTCAAATAATTAAAAAGTTTCAAGAAGATCTGACAGTCAGAAGATGTGTTTCCTATAGGCCAACCATGGCTGGATTGGGTCCAACATCATCAAAAAGGCTGAAAAGTTGTATATTAAGGGCAATAAATGTGCCCAAATAGGTGCATTTGCTGTGAAGGTCTCTTTGCTCTGATAAAAAAGCGTGGCAGAAGCAAGCTTTCACCTGCTTGATTAAAATAAGTCTGACGGTCGCCTGCTGTTTTTACTGGGTCTAGACAAAGTAATGAAGCACTTGTAAACATGAAATTCAAAACAGCAGTCAATTAATGATTGTCTGGCCTTCTTTGTGCTGTTACTCTAAGCATTAACAGTTTGGTTTCCGGGCTCTGGCTGCGTGGCCTCAATAAGAACAAGTCTCTTTTCTAAAAGTCAGTGGGGAACCAATGGGGGAACTTTTTCAACATTTTGCATACTTTATGTTTATCTTTGCACTGATTCAAAGCAAGAGAATGAGATGTTAGCCATCACAGTTACCTTTTTAGAATATGATATTGGTTGATAATGAACATAGATCTTGACATTTTTAATGTATATATGCCCATAGCTCAAAATATTGGACGGACATGATGTTGGGAGCCTTTTAATTTTTACATCTTGTCTTAGACAGCACTCCCATTGAGGATATGAAGGAGGATATTAGAACGCAAGTTATTTTCTTTAAAGGCTTTAAGGATATGCTTTCTCCTTTCTCAGACAGCAGTATCCTAAAATAATTCCCCAGCTCTAAAAGTAGATAACACGTGCTGTAGCAACAGTGCTAGCTACGGTTTGTAGGGCTTGTAAAGGATAGTATGCTTTGGGATATTTTAGCTGATTTCAAGAGCAAAGTCAGTAGTCTCTTCACGCAAGGCATTTAAAGGCACAAAAAAAACAGTTTTTCCTACTCACCAGTTGACCAGCATGGCAGCGTTGTTCCCCGCCATAAAAGGAAGTTCCCCTTGGACGTTGTGAAATACAAATCCTTGGGATAAAAGCAATAAGATCCACCAGAGGAACATGTTCCTCCTCATTCCTCTGCCCCCAGTCCTGTCGGGATCCATGCATCAAGGGCAAAGGTGACCCTGGGGTCTCCCAGGTCTGCAGTGCCTGAAGTTGACGGGGTAGTTGTGAGCCAGACGGCCTGGAGTCATGAGGGCGTCAGAGGGCCCAGGTGACGGGGTCTCAGGCTGAACTTAACGGTGTTAGGGATCTCCTGATGGATGCATGGCCGTGGTGCTGGTGTTGATAGGTGCTGTTGTTTCCCCTTAGCAAGGGGCGCCTGCAAAAAAAAAAAAACAAATTTACCTCACTTTCAGGCTGCTGCCAGTCGATGCCCACAGTGCATTTCCTGAATTGCTTCTTCTTCCCTTCACTTGCCAGCCAGTCCCATCAAGAATGTTTGATCATTATTCCACAAACAGCTGTCAGATAACAACAAAAAAACCAGCCTAAAAGATAGAAAATGTCCACGCGGTTAGCCCCCCTCCATCCCACCAGTGATAAGCAGCAGTGAGTGTCCCTCTCTGTGGCTTAGAATGTGTCCTGAGGTGTGTGTGTGTGTGTGTGTGTGTGTGTGTGTGTGTGTGCAGCAGTTAGAAATCATGCTTCATGTGTGTTTCGGAGTGTGTATGTGTGCGTGTCGGTGCCGGGATTGGCAGGGCGGAGTGGGCGGGTCTTAGAGCTCTGTGAGGATCCCAGGACAGGAAGCCTCAACCTCCCCCTCTCCCTCCCTCCCTCCCTCCCTCCCTCCCTCCCTCCTCCTCCTCCTCCACACACGCACACACACACACACACACACTCACACACACTCCCTCTCTTTCTCTCACTGATGGCAGGATGCAGATTGTAACCAGGGATTAGGGAGGTTCAAAAATCCGATTTTGCCCGGAGAAAGCCTCGTGTATTACTCTGTGTGTGTGTGTGTGTGTGTGTGTGTGTGTGTGTGTGTGTGTGTGTTTGTGTTTGTGTGTGAGGGTGAGAGAGAGAGAGAGAGAGAGAGAGAGAGAGAGAAAGACAGAGAGCTGCTTGTGTACATGTTCCCTAGTGTGTGGAATATAGTCATTGGGTTTTTCATAGTTTACCAGCGCCTGCAGCCGCAAACTGCTGCTGGTGAGAGGATTTTTTAAAGCCTCAAATGCAATCTTCAGCTGAATATTGTGTCCCCTCTCTCGCGCTCTCCCTCTCTCTCTCTCTCTCTCCCCCCCCGCACTACACTCTCCCTCTGTCTCCACATTTACCTCAAACTGTCACATCACCCCATTGTCGAAATCCCAGACATTAACCACATAATAATCTATTGTCGTGTCCTCGCAATAATTAACACCGCATGCTCTCATTTCTCAGTTTAATAATGGATTTGAAGTCAGGTTGCGTTCGATTGAATATGAAATGTTCTCTTTATCGCGGCTTCATTTTTTTTAACTGTTCCACCTCCGCCGCTTTCCGCCACCTCTAATTATTTCATTACTGGAAGGAGGAGCGGTACAGTCGTTAGGAGAAGCATGAGAGGAGGTTATTACCACTTCTCAAATAATACTTGGTGCCCGGTTTATCCAGTGATTGAGCGCCATCGGGGCGGTTTTAGATACCGTCGACTTTTTGGTCATAAAAGTAATTTAGGAACAATGATGTGGTAACCCAACACCTGTGGTGCCGTAAGGAGGTCAAACCACACCGTAATAATTCCTCCATGTGCAAAATGTTTATCCGTGTGTGGTTCAGCTTCAAGATGCAATCTCTGTCATTATTACCACTGACCTTGTTTATTGTCCCTATCTAACTTTATATCCTTTTCACTTCTTCCCTCCCCCTCAGGACAGTATACAGTGATGATGGCCCACTTCTACCTGAAGAGGAAGATTGGATATTTTGTCATCCAGACGTATATGCCCTGTTTCATGACTGTAATCCTGTCCCAGGTGTCGTTTTGGCTAAACAGAGAATCAGTTCCTGCGAGGACTGTCTTTGGTGAGTGAAGCTGGTCGTTTACTCATTTACTTTTATTTTCTTTTAAATGTTTTATTTTCCTGGGTAATATTCCTGTCATGCACATTCTCAAAGGGGAGAACAATAACACTTGCCCACTGAGCAGCAGCACTGCGGTAGCTGGCAGTTATCAAAGCGGCCCACCTTTGTTGAGTGAGGGGAGACTGTTACACTGTCTGTAAAAACTCAATTTGAACTTGTCGCGGCCTTTGTTTGCACCCAGGGGTGACTACTGTGCTGACCATGACCACCCTCAGCATCAGCGCCAGGAACTCGCTCCCTAAAGTGGCCTACGCTACAGCCATGGACTGGTTCATTGCTGTCTGCTACGCTTTCGTCTTTTCTGCCCTCATCGAGTTTGCCACGGTGAACTACTTCACCAAGAGGAGCTGGGCCTGGGACGGCAAGAAGGCTCTGGAAGCACAGCACCCTAAGGTACAGCTTGTGGGCACTAAATTACATGACCTTAACATACATCACTGTCAACTATTCTCCAAAGCATACAGTCACTTTTTAGGCTGATTCTCTACCTTCTAGGCAGCCTGGTTTCTGGCTTGAGGATGCACTTTTATATGATTTGAGATTGCTAAAAAAATAGTTGTATTCATGAGCTGTGTTTTAAGAAAGTAACCTTGAAAAACAAGTGTGAAAACTGTGAAGGGATGATGTGAGTTGTGCAATTTCTTTTATATAAAAGGTTTGTGTATAGCAGATTAGAAACAATATGGAGTAGAAAATGGGCTGAAACATGGTCCTTTAAATAGCTTAAAAGAAATAGTACATTTTGGTAAATACGCTTCTTTCTCGCAAAGAGTTAGATGAGATGATTGATACTATTTCTATTCATATAGAGCCAGGTGTTAGCTTAGCTTAGCAGGCTGGAAGCAGAGGGAAACAACCAGTAAAAGGTAAAAAAAACCCACCTACGTGTACCTCTATAGCTAGCAGTTAGCTTAACACAAAGACTTTTTTTACAGACTTTTTTATTTTTTAATTTTTTTATAGTTGCACAGAGCCAGGCTAGCTGTTTTCCCCCTGTTTCCAGTCTTTATGCTAAGCTAAGCTAACTGTCACCTGGCTCCAGCTACGTAGACATATGAGAGTGGTATTAAACTTCTCGTCGAACTGTTGGCAAGACAGTGAATAAGTGTATTTCCCAAACCATCAAACTATTTCTTTAAGGAACCACTTTGGTGTCCATGGATAACATTTTAAGGTGGTATTCCCAAATGACACTTACGGTAAAACGTGAACATCTAAGTTGTTTAGATGTGTCAATTGCACTGAAGTTGCTTGTTGTAATAGATCCACAGATGCCCAGGAAAACTGTCACACATCTGCCAGCAGCTGCACTAAAACAAATACCTGCATATTGCAAACATCATAAATATAAATCCAACTGACACCTGAGTGAAATTCAATCACACAGCACCCCTGCAATTTAGCCGAATGTTTTGCCAGAAATGTTTCACGTCTGTAAAATCACTAATCATTCCAGCCCGAATGAAACACATTGATTATCTCAGGCCAATAACACTGGCAATAACTGACATCTGTAGAGGGCTTAAAACTAATTCACTGCTCAATGTAATCTGTCCCGCTGTAGAAACGGGACCCCATGGTGCTGTCGAAGAAGCCCAACAACGTTTGCTCGGCGGGTGTCAACTACACCCCCAACCTCACCAAGGACGTGTCAATCTCCACCATCTCCAACACGACGTCGGTGCAGCTGCGGGCCTCTGAGACCAAGATGGTGGACCCGAAGAAGACCTACAACAGCGTCAGCAAGATCGACAAGATGTCGCGGATAGTGTTTCCCGTCCTCTTTGGAACCTTCAACCTCGTCTACTGGGCCACGTACCTTAACAGAGAACCGGTGGTGAAAGGAGTGGTCACCTCAACGTAATCTTTCTCTTCTTTTCCTTTTTTTTTCCTGAGACAGAGAGTTTGTGTAAGGGAGGAAATTTTAGCCTAATTTGAGAGTGGGTGAACTAAAAAGGAAAGGGGTTGTTGTAAAGTCTCTGCCCTTGACAAAAAAAAAAAAAACCCCAACAAATATCTGCGCTTGAAGAACAAAAACTAACTATACTCAACTATCTAATTCAAGCACTTTGAATGGATGCAAGGCTGCAACAGAATCCCTTTCCTGTTTTTCATGGCCTAAAAAACTGCTTGATCACAAAGAAACTGCTTCTAAGACTATGTCGACGAGAGAGCGAGCGCTCTGCTTCTTTCTCATCTATCCTGCTGCAGTTTGCATGACGCTCTCCTCAAAAGGAAACCATGGACCCGTTTTTGTCTTGAATACCGACCATGTGTATGTCAATCACTGCTTAAAGTACGGGAGCATACTTCATTGCTACAACTTGAGGAAGGGGTTTTAAATGAAACGAACAGAAGGCATTTTCAGCAATTTTGCCCCAAATTTAAACGCTTCATATTCTTATGGAGGCTTGAAATGCACCGAGCTTATGTTATGGAAGAAAAAAACTGCAATATAACATGCATTTGAAAAAAAAAAGGATTTAAAAAATGTACCGAATTCCACGCCGTGTGGAAGAAACATCTCCTTAAGATTAATGCTGCAGGTGCATAAATAATTTAGTTTTATGTCTCTTTTTTTAAAAAAAAAACGTTGCCATTTTTTTCTCCTATTGCAGCGGGTGCTTGTGTGTCTTTTTGTACATCTTTACTTGAAGATTCAAAGCCTTCTGCTGCAGGCTTGGTTTCCCAAAAGCAAAGTTTCAATGGAAAATGAAAAAAAAAAAGCTACCTGAAGGTGAAAAAAAAAAAAACATAGCAAGGGATTTTTTTTAGATGAAAAGACGCTTCTTCATTCATAAAAAATTAAAAAGTTGACATTTAGGGCGGCTTGCCAACAAGAATATTTGTAAAACCTCTTTGGCCCACTTACCCTGGGTGACTGGACAGCTGTTGGTGTGTTCAGGACAAATTTAGGATTGGATGTATGCGCTTTAACTGAATTTTGAGCGTTGGTCACTCAACTAGGAAACTAATATTCACAGTTGAGAGACCAGTGCTCGAAACGCAGAGTGTGTCACATACAAATCAGCAGAGTGATGCAGGGAGTGTGGAGACTGTCATTCAGCAAGATGACCAGCGTGCAAAACCCATAGTCAGGCAAGCGTCAGCACTAGCAGCTCCTGGGGCCGGTTTCACAAAGATAGATTGACTGTGGCGTAAATCGAACTAATAGTCACACTTAGACGTCAATGGACGTCTAAATTCATCAAGTCTTTTTTAACCTTAAGGCGGACTAATTTAGTATGAATTCTGGGTAAATTAAGAGTCTTTTCAAACTAAGAAAAAACAACTGACCGAGCAATCTTCAGTCAGGTTCAGGATAGTTTCCAAATTAAGATGATGATGATGATGATGATGATGATGATGGCTTCGCTGCTATGTATTTTTAACAGGTTTCTACACTCTCTAAAAACACTCTCGCTTGTTATTTTTCACACCAAAGTATTGTTGTAGGAACGTGGCTTTTAGTTCAGAGTTAGTCTGGCAGGCTTCCTATGTGTCCTGAAAAACCTGGATATACCAATATCAAGGAAACAATCTATGTTGCCCTATTTCAGCCCTTCACTCAGATCGCATTAACCCAGGTCAGAAAAAAACTGTAGTCAAATCACTACTTTTCTTAAAAAGAGGGGGAACCCTGCCTGCGGTTAGGGTGGCTTACTTTAAAATAAATCAGTTGCATTCGACTAATCTAAGAGCAAATTAAGACCTAACAGCAGTCTGAAATATCTGTGGGAAACAGTCCCCAGGTCTGCTGCTCCTGACCTCTGACCTCCGTATTTGGGGGGGAAAAAGAAAAGAGAATCAAAAAGAAGCAATCAATGAAGTCTCGTCATTGCATTCATTTTCTGCTTTCTAGTACAACGGCATCAGATTAATACGTCGGCAAAAATAGACAAAAATTCCAGAAGAAAGGCTTGAACACACATGGCACAGCAAAATGAATCCACGTCTCTTCTAAATACGTGTTTCTAGAAGTGGATGACTTATGAGGCTAGCTGGCGAACTACTGTACCTGGAAAGCTAACTGCTCACATGCTAACCAGTTACAATCGCTGAACTTCTTCTGTTTACTCTGTGCTGTGCCGTTTACGTCCCAACGTGGGTTCTCGCGAGTGATAGGTGACATTCATTGAAGCCTAAGCTTGTTAGCGAAGTTGCTAACAGGCAAAAAGATCCAAAGCAAATTCACTTTTATTGGAATTGGATTGCAGAATGTTTCCACTTCAAATGATGGTGCAATCAAGCATTTAGGCTACAAAGATTTTGGGAAATTAGGCGAGTCTCATAAGGGAATCATGTAAATAAACCTTTAATTTAAACTCTTGGCTTTGACACTATAAAGGCTACGTTGAGATTCTCACATGGGAGTTTTTACGCCCTCAGAAGAAAAAAGTCTTAACGTTGACTTTCACCTTATTAACAGTATGTTTTCGTCTGATAGCTTTTTCTTAATGTTTGTGTGAACATGTGAAATTCCTTTCTTCTTGTCGCTTGTAGAAGAGCTGATCAAACTTAGCTTCTGATCTTTGAGATCTGATTTTTTTTATTTTTTATTAACTTCTTTCCACATTGACTTCATTAAAGTGGAAGCAATGAGCACACGTTGTGGCATTTTGGCTGGAGCCCACCACATCACAGCATGTGTGACCGGTTGGACTATGGTGAGACATACTCAGGAACAAAAGGACCCATTGCTCCCAGCAGAAGCGTTGCCTCAGAGTCACTGTCGCTCTAATCTCATTGGTTTTAACAGTGTGTTTCACTCTGTCACCTGCTGCTGGGAGCATTGTCCCCGCTAACTTTTTGGCGCTGAATAAAACCGTATAAATAAAGTTGACATCAGCTGCTACTGTACCTGCTTTGCTTTGTGAAATTGGGACCTACAGTAAATGTCACAATATCAGCCTAGAATTCTTTCCAGCGCTTTGAATTTTTGTGCCATAATATCTTGTGTTTTTGTGCTGGTTTTGGTTGATGTTAAATCTACATTTGATGTAAATCTAAAGGTGTCGCAATCCGTCAAAAGGCTGTCAGTCGGCAAAACCTAACACTAGTGTTTCAGCGCTCGTTAAAGCGCAGCGGGCGTGTAAAAGGAAAGTCCAAAGAAATGCAACTGAAAGGCGATCGATACATCTGTCTGTCTAGGGGTCGCCATGGCTGCAAGTCCAGATGAACAGACCCAGACATCCCTTTCCCCGGTAACAACCTCCAACCTCCTCCTTTATCTTGTTTCCGACTCTGCTGCTTATACACATTCCCTTAAAAAAAAAAAAAAAAAACACGCTTGAGTGCACATTTTCCTTTTGTTTCTGATTATGGGTGCAGAGTTTGAGTCCTTCACGAAGTTTGGGATCATTTGTTTGTTCTGTCAGAGCTGAACTGTTCCAACGCTGCTTTGTTTGAGCTGGCCGAGCCTTATTTTGAGTTGCGTTGCCAAAGGAAATGAAACTGTAATAAGCATTTTGGCCCCTAATCATGAAGCGTATTCGCCTCCATTATTTTCTCAATGGATGGTAATGTCGGTGTGCCGGTACACCAATTTGTTCCAGACTGAAATGTCTCAACAACCATTGGATGGATTGGCCATGAAAAAAAACATTCATATCCCCCTTCTGGATGAATTCTAATCACGCTGGCAATCTCCTGATTTCCCTCTAGCGTCATCCTCAGTTAAAAAAATATGTGTCCAAAGTTTTGGTTTGTGAGCAATGCGTTACTTTTTGTGCTCATTTAGCGCTAATAATCCAATGCCAGCATGCTAACACGCTAAAGATGGCAAAATGCGGTAAACGTTATACCGGCTTAGCATCAGCACGTTGGCATTATCATTGTTAGCATTTAGCTCAAGTGCAGCCACGCGAAGACACTAGCATGGCTGTAGACCAAAAGACGTCCGGCCCCCTGACAAAGGTTTTTATAGTTCACACCAAAACTTTAACATTATGAATCTGCTGTAAATAACAATGTAAATAAACAACCTAATAACTTCTAATCATTATTATTTCCCCCATATGAGAAGAGGCCGAGTGTACTGTGTACTTTCAACGGAGCAATGGAACTCCCGAACTAGTTTTAGAAGTCAGTTTTAATCTTAAATGGATCAAAAGAAGCAAACAAACAGGTCTGCTAGAAAACAAATGAACAGTGAAAGAAACTGGCCCATTGTTGAACCTAATTGCTGACCCCCGCTGTAGAGTCTTAGTCTTGTTATAAAGTTTCAGTTAGAATCCTTACAATTATGTACAAAAACACTGCGGGTCAGAGGCTCTCCATTGTACTAACGCTTGCTAGACACGCATACATCTTCCTCGCCCTCTAAGGAATGAGTGCCCCTATCCAGCCATCCATTTAACCATCCCTCTCTTCTCTGTCGCCCCTCCCTCCTTCCTTCAGCCACTGTGACAGACTCATCTGCCATACATCTGTCAGAAAAGGGATTTAGTTCCGCTTAAGTTCCTTCCCCCCCGTTTCAGGGGGCCCCCTCACAGCAAAGCGCTCCGCTCCAATTTAAGCCCTGACTGGCCCAGCCGATGACAAGTGCTTGTTTTTCTCTCTGTGGTGTCTGGACAGCTGTGGCTGGTGCGTGTTAGGGACAAATTTAGGATTGATTATATGTGCTTTATCCAAAGCTAGCTCATGGGCGGCGAGGCAGACTCAAGTTTTGAACTTGGGTCTCTCAACAGGGGAATGTAATGCACATGCAGCCGTCGGCTCAAAGAGACTCACGCAGGGCTACGACAGCAACAGTTGTCTATCCCGGGGAGCGCTATAGGCAGCCATCACACACACGTGCATGAACTCTCTCTTGTTTTTGAGCCTCAATAAAGAACTTTGATTATTTGTTTTTTGGGAGAAAACATTTTTTTTTGTTTAAATTTTGCAAAAATGCAGCAAAGCCATTGTAGCTATAGCTGGGCTTAACGAAGCATTTGTGTTAATCATTCTTTGTTTCATGTACTGTATTTGTTTTAATGTATTATACTTAAAAGGATCAAATAAAAAAGATGAACAAAGATGGCATTCAGAAATTATTACTAAACATGGAGCAAAGCTGCTGCAAATTATGGAATAACTGTACAATGTCTTGTGATTGTAGCTGCTAACACACTAACGCTTTATTACTTAACAGTTTGATGCACATATCTTCTGTCGATTTTCCCTCTGTGACTGCCATTATCGATGATTATTTTCATCACGAGAGTGCTTTCACTTCTTAGATTCCACAGAGCAAACAGATAACAAGAACATTAGACGTTTATCATTCATAAGAGAGGGAAATACTCCTCTTTGAAAGCGTTTCATCAGATTTATGGGGCAGTAGGCGAGTGGTGGAGTACAACAAGGTTCATTTATACAATTTTGATTTCATTTTATGCCACCTTATACTCCAATACATTTATATAACAGCTGTAGTTACTGTTCACCTGACCTTTCAAATTAAGATGATAAGCTTATATAATACCACTTTGGTCCAGTGTGCAACTTCTACAGTGTGATATAGAAAAAAGTGCATATACACTGAGAATGGGCTTTACAGGGACATTTTTTGTCCAGCAGGAAAACTTTAGACATGAACAAACTTTGCATATTTATAGATTCTGCAATTTTTAATGAGGTAGAAGAAGACTTTTTAAGGATTCTAATGTGAAAATTATACTTTTTTTTTCATAACAGACACACATTATTGTTCCTGCTCCATATCTGGAGGGGAATTTTAAGTATCAGCATTAATAATCAGAAATTGGGGGTTATTGATGGAGATCAGGCTGCAGAGCGAACTTGATTCCGCTGCCTGCTTGTCTGTTGTTCGGCCACCAGGGGGCAGTGAAGCCTCTCACACTCGCAGGGCTGCTGTGTGGATGAGCCTCACAAGTTTGTAGGCTGTGGCTGCCCTACTGAGTCTGTGCGCCTGTTCAACAAATGACTTATTTTGAGTGGCGGGTGGGGGGGCGTAAAACGGGCGCGTAAAGCCTCCCGGTGGCGATCCTCAGCGGCGGAAACGACAAACAATCAATATAAACAAAAATCAAGTACACATTCAGTAAAACTGAGACCCTGCTGCTTTTTTTATGAGTTTACACTCCTAGCTGACACTGTGTTATGATCTCGGTGGCGCAGCGGAGTGTAAAATTGAAAACGTGGATAAAGTGTTCAGAAAATCCAGAATAGTGGATTGACGTTAGGGAGGTCTACTTTATGGGAGAAAAAACAAATCCACCTCCTCTTTCTGCACTATTTACCCCTCCACTAATTGTCTAATTAACTTAAATAAATCCAAAAACTGATGCAGATGTTGAATTACGCATAAAAAGATGCGTAAAATGCGCTTTCCCCCCCCCCAACACACACACACACACACACACACACACACACACACACACACACTAATATAATGCAATTGTTTGGGTCCAGGTAGTGTGCACGCTGTATGAGTCACGCAAGATGCTCGTCTCCTAAGGTTCTCCACCACCACCACCATCATCATCACCACCAGCACCAGCAGCAGCAGCAGCATCGGCAGCAGACAGCGTCACCCAAACACACTCCGTTGCCCACACATGCGTTTAGAGAGGGAGGAGGGCGCCGCTGGATCAAGTCAATTCGACTCCCCTCCGCTGGACTGATCACATTGATTGATCGTGCAGGAGGAGGAGGAGGTGGTGGAGAAGGAGAAGGAGTAGGGGGGGCTGAGGTGGTGCGTCCCGGAGGAACCCCTTTTTTTTCCCCCTTTTTTGGCGAGGAGGACCAAGGAAAGCGAGCCGGTGGTGGAAGAGAGAGGTGGTGGTGGTGTTGGGGAGGGAGGGAGGTGGGGGGGGGCGGTTTGGGAAAAGACCGTGTGTGCGGTCGCAGATGACACGCAGAAGAAAGTGCGTGGGCGGATGAGGAAGTTCAGAGGCACGGATTGATGGTCACACACCTACTGTGTACTGGCACTTTATCGCAGCAGCAGCAGCGGCGGCGGCGGCGGCGGCGGCGGCAGGAAGGCACAACGCCGGGGGGAAGCTCCATCCACCAGGTTTTGTTTTTTTTTACTGTGATCAGAGGGTGATCCGCGCATGGGAAAATGACAATCAAGTTGGTGGTCCTCCTCTCCACACTTCTGCTCGCTCAAGGTGCTCGGTGAGTCCCGTTCGCACCCCTTTTTTTTCCCTTCTTCTTCTTCTTCTTCTTCTAATACTGGCATGATCAACAGCTGAGAGAAAGGTGCTTGTTTGGAGCTTCAAAAGTTCAGATGTGGCTGTTGTGTGTGTGTGTGTGGGGGGGTGATGGAAACTGCGCATTTTGTGTGAATGAGACTGGGCTGATCATGCATGTAGTGTTATTATTTATTTATTTTTCTAAGGGCTTCCCCCCCCCCCCCACACACACACACACACACACTCACACACACAAACAACAACCGCTTACTGCTGTCCCCCCCCAAAAAAAAAAAACCCCAATCTAGGGGCCCTGACACATTCCTAAAATGCATTTTTGAACTGTAACACACAAGCTTGCTGCGACAAAGTTCTTTTCCTGATGGTGTTTATTAAAGGGGAGCCATCACCAACATCACCTCCCCTCCCTTGTGTGTGTGTTTTTTCTTTCCCCCACCCCACCCTACCTTACCTTACCCCCCCCTTTCTCTCTCCAGTTCTGATCTACTGGATTATGGCGACGACTATGAAGATCACCACGACAGCACTGTCAATCAAATGCTGGTCCCCAGGTCGCACCAGGAGGATGCCACGCTCATACTCAACAATTTGCTCAAGGAATACGACAAGACGCTGCGGCCGGACATCGGAGGTAAGGGCCGGGCTCTCATTGGTCGACTTTAATTGGCTGAGAACTTGCAGGAGTTGTTTGGTGGCCGCTGGGCGCTGTCCAGGGTGCTGAGTTGGTTACTGGGTTGGGAGTGGAGCTGTCCGTGGTGCTGAAAGCTGTGACGCTGCAGCAGTGGATGGGGGTTGCTGCCCCCCTCCCCACCCTTTTTATAGCTTTAAGGCTGTTGATATGTCTTATAGCAGCTTGTTCCCCAGATCTCCATGGAGGCTTCATGATGTTGACACTGAGTGATACACACCCAGTACTCCATGTTTTTTGGGGTTTTTTTAATGGCTGCATCCATAATATATTCTGCATGCACTGTCGAGCACCTGATACCTACATTTCCTTAAGATACAGGCATCTTTGGACACTTTGTGATGAGTAAAGTTGTGTATGTTTGAACAATCTTTGGCTGAGATGACCCACCCCCCAGGCTGCAGCCTGCTAATAACGTTGTCTGCTTACTGGAAAAATACAAAGTTTTTGAATGTGCTTTTTTTGTTTTCATTATCGATTCACCTGCTGATTATTTTCTTGACTGATTGTTTCCTTTTTAAAGGAAGTAATTTTTAAAAAGTCCAACGCGCCGTCCTAACCTTATTTAAACGATTCCAAAACCCAAAGATATTCGCTTTACTATCATACATGACAAACAAAAGCTGCAAACCCTCACTGACACCAGAGTCTTTGGCTTGTTTTTTTAAGTAAAACTTGATTTACATAGCACTCAGAACCAAGGTTACAAAATTATTTACGGTTACAAAAAAACTAAAAGCATTTGAGTGGATAAATACAGCAAACACAAGAAAAAATGGTGTATGAATAAGAACAAATCAGGGCACAGACGCATCAATAAACTTCCTTCGAGGATAAATAGGTTTTGCTGATTAAGTTTGCTGACCCCCAGAGAAAGAGAGGCTGTTCCATCGTTCCATCAGGAGCCAAGGCAGAAAAAAAAGGTCACCGCAAGTCTTGAACTTTGAGCGGGGCGCACCCAGGAGCCCTTTGTCCTGCTGACTGTGAGAGGACTATAGGGCCTGTAAGGGATCAGCGACTTGTGGTGGAGCCAAACGTAGGGCCTTTTAAAGTAATTAGAAAGGTTTTAAATGCAATCCAAAGTTCATCTGGAAGCCCGTGTAACGCTGAGGTAATACGGGAATGCTGTGGAGGTTTTGTGAGACATTGTGCAGAAGACTTTTTGAACTGACTGTACATTTGCTATGGCTTCTTGGCGGCCGAGCTGCTGCTAATGTTAGCTCAGCTCAGATAATTTAAGATCCAGACATCCAATGGCTAAAATCCTTCATCCAGTTAGGATATCTGGTTAAAAATAACCAAGATCTATAAAGTTTATTGTAAAAATGTGGCTTAAAACCGGATAAAAAGTCAATGTATGATAGCATCTGGCAGAAAACCTCAACACACGTGCAAAGGCGACCGGTGAAACGTACCGTTACCGTTTGAACACTGTTGGAAACATTTGAGATAATGTAATTACACAACTCACTGACTAATTGTTGCACCTCTAGCACGAACCGACACAGCGTTAGGAGTAATGTGTTGCCTCATAGCTAATAAATAACACAGGCAGTTCATTTCCTCTTAGGGAGAACGGGACACGACCAAAAGTCGCTATGACAACAGACGAAGAGGGGTTAGAAGGAAGGGAGGTGGTTCATTTTGTCCATAAATACCAGGATTATTCACATGTTGATTAACCAGTCAGTCTGTGTGCGAGCCTCACTTAAAGGTCCAGTGTGGACGATGAAGTGGCGTCTAGCTGTGTAGTTGTAGATTGCATCTCACTCGCTTCACCCTCCCCTTCGAATGCTTGAAGGAGAAACTGCATGAAAAACGGCCCTATCCAGAGCCAGTTTTTTTTCTTTATTTATTTTAATACAGTGAAGGATTACATGTTCATTTATGGGTTAAGAGAATTTTCTTTATTCTTAAGATAAATAAAGCCAGTAGCTTATATGAGAAATGCATCATGGGGGCTGTGTTTCTTTGCTTCTTGATGGCAGACATTTTGGAGATACATTTATTTTTAACTGATGTATTTGTTGGTTTATTTTAAAAGAAAAATGCTGTAAATGCACCAGAGTTAGCCAAGAGGCCAAGATCATTTATAAGAATCCAGAACAATAATAACAATAAAGAATAATAAATATAGAGCATGCGGTATACATCAATCTGACACAGTGAAAACAAAACCACAATAAAAGACCAGCTAGATAAACACATAGGCTGTCGCAGACGGAGCTCATGTCTGTGTCTTTCATCTTCTGTATTTTTTCGATTATCAGAATATCTGTTATAAAGTCTCCGGCCAAATGTAGGGCAAATTTGAAACAAATTTCCAGACATTTTTCAAAATAAAATGCACATTAAATTAAATTTCAGCTTAAAAAAAATAAAAAAGTTTCTTAAAAGCTAAAACAAACTACACTGTGCTTAATTTAGTGCAAATTATTATCAAAACTGATAAACACATTTCTTAATTAATTACAATTGCATGCATTATTAATAATATATACAATAAAATGTATTAAAACATTTAATATATATTTTTAAAAATCGAATTCCGTCCAAGCCTGACCTGAGCCCGACCTATTGCAGTTGTGTAGAGTCCGAACCCGCTTTGAACCCGGCGGGTCGTGTTGGGTCCAGTCAGCTCTAATCAAGTTGGTGGTGCAAATTCTGCATTCGGGTGCCGTTAGAAGAAGAGTGGCGCAACAAGATGACGTAGTTAAAAGAAGCCAGTCAAACCTCCAGACCAATGTGGAAAACAGGAAGTTACCTTAAACTCTGTTGATGATGCAGAACTCCAAAACACTCCAAACAAGATGGCCATTCACATATGGCGGCCATCACTGCATGTAGGCAACACACAGACATGAACTCAGCTGTAGCTACATGTGGGTGGGTATCTTACCCCAGGGGGTATCTCTCCCTATCTGACCCCTAGATACTGTACATATAAGAGCCCGAGGTGGTTCAATCACCCTCTGATTGCAGCCACATTACTTCTACTACACTTAAGGTCCAATCAAAACTTGAAGAGGAATAGTCGTCCTCAGAGAGTCAGGGAGGCTGGCCGCTAATCAAATGCTTACTGGTTTGATCCCCGGGGTGTTCTCACTGGTTGGGCTGGGAAAGATCCCCTGTGTTAAGCGTGTAGTCATTACTGCTGCATTTAAAGAGTCATTTTGAGACATCAAACCTGTGTGTGTGTGTGTGTGTGTGTGTGTGTGTGTGTGTGTGTGTGTGTGATGGAAGTGATAGGGAAGTATACAGTATATTATGGCTCTGTATCTGAGAGAAAGCGTGAGAGGAGACTTCTGTGCTCTGGATGTCGACCGGCCTTGGCATGAAGGAAGCGTTAATGGTGTTATTGTGGCGTTCCCTTTGGCAGAACAATCGGATCTGTTTCCTTACATTTTCTTATATTACTTCTGCGTTTCTTCTACATTTTTCCTGTACTTCTTCATCCCTGGATTGCATTTACAATCAGCAATGTGTTGACAAAATCAGAGGAATAGTTGATCTGATATCTGGAAATCATTTGGGAATTGCTCTACTCTACATATTGGAATAAACAATGTGTGTTTCTTAACTTTGTAGTTTGTTTCCTGCAGCCCACTGTGACGTTTATTATTACCTAAATCATGGCAATTCTGTGGAGGGCCTATAAAAGCACGTTGTGAATTATTTTTGTTGTTCCAAAATAGCGAACGCAACCTAAAAATTAAACCTTAAAAGTTCAAATTAAATATGTAAAATCTTTTAAATGTATAATTTTAGTGTTGTGTTATTTACTTAAACTTAGCAAAACTGTTCTCCAGGATAGGGAAACTGTGCCTTCAGCCTCTGCTGGCCTGAATTAGGACACTTTTGTGGTTCTCTTTGTTAACTTTGGGAACTGAGACCAAGTCTGAATACTTGTTAACACGCGGCAATTATTTTTAGTTCTAAGAATAAGTGCAAAATTACGTCATTCTTATCATTTTGATGTATTGAACACTGAAATTTTACTCTAAACAGCTTTGTACAGTACATATCTTCTCTGGAGCATATAAGTATCTAATACAAAGGTATTTCCCAACATAATATTCCATGTTTGGCCCCAAAAAATTAACAGCATCTCCCTGACACAGTCTCAAAATAATCAGTAATGGAGAAAGTACTCTTTTATGTACAACAAGGAGTATTATCTGCTTATGAATGATGCATTTTAATACTGATCCTTCTAAATGACCAACATAAACAAACCATCAATGAGAAGCTATATCGATATAGTTATTCTCAAAGCCTGCCCATTGGGTCGGGTTTGGTTGGATTCATCTTGAAATCAGCGGATTTTACTTCCACTTTTGTCCACAGGGGCCGCCAGAACGCAAAATAAGATTTCCTCGTAAGGGCTTTAATTAAAAGTGAGCAATGAAACTTCGTAAAATACTTCACATACATTACATACATTAAAAGCTGTACATGAGAAACAAAAAAAATCTTACTTAAAGCCAGAGTAGATGAATTCTGAAATTCATTACAGACTGTAGCTTTAACTAAAAGTACAGAAGTTAAATCAGCTAAATATACCTAAAGTAAAATTCTTGTAACTGATACATCCCATATGACATTATGGTGTCACCACTGATGCATACATGCAAAAATAGCGTACAGTACAGGGTTTGGCTTCAATGAGAGGGCGTGAGATGATTACTAGGAGTGGAAAGAAATCCAATATTGGAAATGTTAGATTATTTTACGTCTTTGGGCATCGAACAGTTATAGAAATGACGTTGTTTTATCGGCAACGTTTCATGCCCAGGTCTCCCTTGCAAAAGGCAGTTTCCAACCTCAGTGCTGCAGGGATGAAACATGACAAGTGGCTTTTGTTTCTTTTGTTGTAAGAGGCTACGAACCAAAACATTGGGAAACACTTTTTCATATTTAACGATGCACTGTGTTGTATGTTT